TTGCTTGCCTTTCTGTTCCGCAACACGAGGTGGTTTATAACGCTTTTCCTAAGCCATTTCAGCAAAAAACATGCTATGGATTATTCCCTCACTACAGCCAGCAACGCTGTGCTGTTCAGAGGCAGCGTGCTGCACCAACTCTCTGCAGAGATCCATCAGACATCAGCCACGTTGTAACCACCGTGTGGGGTGGGGAATACAACTGGACTGGCAGAGGGAGCCCCATACCCCGAGCAAGCAGACAGGCATGCTGCTATGTAAATTAGATCTCACAGCAAGCCTTTGCTGCACAACTGCACTCACCATGCAGCAGCACAGCTGGGGGGAAAAAAAGTGGACAGAACTATATTAACCTTAACTAAACAATTATTCCTTATCTTGCTTTAAGATTTAACAGTCCCTGGGCATGTTTGTTTCTGACAGCAAAGGAAAGACAAGCAGTATTGTTACTATGGTTATTTTTTTTAGTATAGTCCCTACCCTTAGCACAGAGCGAGATTACTTTTACAGAAAGTGCTAAAATTCCTGAAACTACTCCATTGTAATAAAGTCAGTTACCCTACTTTGTTTTCATAGATGTTGAGTAGCTGAAAGGAAACCTGAAATACCCACATTTCACTGAAGGCTGGAAAAAAAAAATAAATTCACATAACCTGATTTGAATGCTAATTTTTGAATTACACACTGTGACAGCCCTGCCCTTAGCAGCAGGGAATGAAACTCAGTAATGCAGAGATTCACCCCAGTTATTTGATCCTGTGCAAATTACTATCTCTGTGCAACACAGTGATTCAAATAACTGAATGAAACTGCTTTTGCCTCTTTACTGAAATTCTGTCTTATATCACCAATTTGATATTCTAGTTTTAGTCAGACCCTTAAGATTTAAGGGAAAAGGTTAATATTTATCAAGACTCATTTTCTGATGTTTTATTTGAATGCCTGTGACACGGCTAAGACACAGGGCAGAGCTAAGATCTACTGTGACCACTGGTAAAGTAATATATTTAGTTACAGAGAAACATTTGGTGAAATAAAACTGTTAAGAAAACATATCAAAAACTTTAAGTCTGTCTTCAACTAGGCAAAAAATGACTGGATGTTCAAACAGCTTTGCTGGAACTGCACTTGTACATTCAGCTGCTCGCTGATTTGAAGTTTGTTTTTAATTATTTCAATTTACCTTTTAAGGAAGCACTTGCAAATTGAAAATCAAGAGCGTTGTAAAGCTGAATTTAGAACACTGAAATGCTTACATGAAGCCTATCCATGGATGGTTAACACAGACACAGACCCAGCATTTGTACAGTTTTATAAAGACCTAGAATTATTCCACAGAAAAGGCTTTCAAAACTAGAATTTCCTGGTTAGTTTAGTGTCTACTAGAAACAACCTTAGATTACAATTGTGGATGGCATGAAAAAAGTCAGGACTCCCATGCTCAGTTTTTAAAAAACATTCATGGTATTTGTTTAATGATTCTACGTAATTCAAGAGAATTTAAGCATTTTGAGAAGTTAACAAGCTTTGAGAAGAATTGGTTATTTGGCTGGCAAACTATTACAACCTCTTACAACTAACATTGTCAAAATTAGATTTAGAGGATTTCTACGGAAATTGGTATTACCACATAAGGGCAGTTAACAGAGAACACAATGACCTGAAAAAAGCAGATTCTCATATTTTCTTTTTAACTGCTGTCTCACCAGATATGCATTTTGAAAGGAGCAGTCCTCCTTTCACGGCAATGTAAGTAATGGACACCAAAGTGACGAGTGAAGAGAGTCAACAAAAATACAGTTTACTCTTAACTGAAGTCTCAGAAATAATTGGACTAGCATTTTAATAAATCAAAATAACTGAAGTATCTGGGGAAAACTACATATCGCACAGGTTCGGGATATATTACTTATTTTACCCACTTAATCTTATTAAGACCCTGGAATGGTCCAAGAAGATGAGAAGAAAAGATACATTAATCTGTCCATATAACGAGATTCAAGAATGACCTGCAGAATGAAGAGAGAACAGGCATTCACTCTGCAGTTTCCCTCTGCTTGGACACCGGTTTACCCACACTGCCTGCTATGGACAGCAGCATTTCAGCAGATAAAGCATTCCTGTACATGGATTAGGATTAACAGCAAGTACACAATTAAGACTTCACATGAGATGTTATCCTGACGTCAGCTGACTGATTAATACAAGGTTACTTACAAAATTATGTTTAAATTATGGTTTGCAATACATAGCTGTATGAAATCCCCCATATCTGAACGAAAAAGGAATTTATATATATATTTATATATAAATATATAAAAAAATATATAAATATATACAAATATATATTTGCATAAATATATATCTTTATATATATATATATATTTTTACTATAAAATCCTTTGCCAGTACCACCTTATTTCAATGCCATGGAAAACAAGGCATAATCTAAAGAGACTGTACCACTTAAAGCCAACACACATAAGCAATCTTTCTGAAGGAGACCCTTACTTACCTTTAAAAGACTCTTTCCAAGACTGAGCCCCACCCTGGTTTTTACTTTTTTCATCAACATAGAGTTTCCTACTCTCAAAAAACCCCAATAAAATAAAATTCTAAGAATCTGTAGAGCACCCTTTATTTACTGAAGATGCCAGTTTTAAAGAGAGCCTACCTGCCACCAACCAGTGAAAGGATGAATAGTGTAGGTCTAGACAGTGCGTGTGCAATAGTGGGTACTATTGCAAATAAATAACATACTAATTTTTAGGAAGAAACAAATGTTCATTTAATGTTAACATGCAAATACTGAGTATGCACATAGCACTGGACATTACAAACTCTGCTTCTGGGGGAAGGAGAATGTCCATGATGGTAAAACACAATACCAGTTAAGAAAGGAAAATAAAACAAGTGCTATCCTAAATACTTCATGGCTTTTAGCACCCTCTAGTGACAAAATTAGAATTTCAAGGAGATTCTTACTTCCCACACATGAAAAGAGAAGCACGAACTTGGTTGTCTGAGTTGCAATTTACTACCATTATTTTTATAATGTAAGTTCTCTACATTGAAATGTGACAAGTTATGTTGTTTAATCGAGATATATAATTTCAACTATCAGGTAAAATGAAAAATCCACACGGACCTAAGCTTTCATTTTAAGCACTGTGCAAGGACAGCTGAAGTCAAAGTCTTCCCTACACATGGATACACCTTATTGGCAGTTTTGTACATCTCACACAGGAATACGTGGAAGAATTGTTACCAGTGTTTTTAAGTCATTTTCACCATGTTGTTACCACAAAAGACAACTTCAGTTCTGCGTGACGTGCCTCAAATGCCCAGATAAAGAGACGAGACATGTCTTCAGACATACTTTAATGCATGAGACCACTCACAGGCCAGATGGAGAATCAAGTATCAACAGTCTTCTACAGCAAAATTTCTGCACTGAAGCAGCATGGTACAGCTTTTAGCCTTCCGTACTACTTAACTCCAAAATTGCAGAGCTCACTGGTTTTTACAGGCCTTGTTGATTCTAAAGGTACATTTCTATATTTTTAGGCAAGAACAGGCATGCACTACATTGCTGCCTACAGCAATTGAAACATTATTCTCTCCTAGCTCTTTCTAGTGTCTGCTAGAAGCTATGCCCTGTTCACTGCCAACTAAGCATTCATGAAAAACACTAAACTATGAATATGTGTGTTAAGCTACAGGAAAGGTCAGGGGTAGTTCAGTGGCTTCAAAACATTAAGTTGACAGAGCAGCCTTTGATTAGCCTCCTGTTCAGCATTTCTAAAAAACATCTCAGATTAGTTTATAAAAAGGTGACAGGTGGCTTGGTTTTCTGACAGATTTTTTTTTGTTTGTTTGCTTTGGGGTTTTTGTTTTGGTTTACTTTAAAGAAGAATATACTTATAAAAATGTACAAAACTACTGAAGGAAGCAACATTTTACAAATGCACTAAGATGATTTAAGCCCTATTCAAAAAAAGAAAGCACTTGGTAAAAACAGATGAGGGAATGCTACATGTATCCACTTCTGTTGCACCCCCAAAGACAGAGTGTTTCAGCAGTGAGATTAAATACCTGGACTCTAAACTCTATTGCAATACAACGTTATAGCCAGTACCCAATGCAATTCTAAATCCTGACCAGTTTGACAACACAGACTATCCCCAGATAAAGTCCAAGGAAGTCCATTAATCAATCAGGGATTTTGCTAATGCACTCCAGCCCAACAGTCTCTCTTACACAAAGGAGCCAAAAGCAAAGGTTTTAATCCCACTCACAGGAAAACATCTGTATCTACAAGGACTTCACTCCCCTTTCAAGGGCAGAAAACGGTGCTTCTGTCTGTAGACAGAGATTACAGGGAGGTGTGAAAGCTACATGTGCATTGAGTTTCCCAGTTCTGAAAAGACTGCTGTATTATTGTTTGTTTTTGCAGAGACATTTTTCAAATGAATCTGCCTGTGTATAACCACATGGAAATAGTTCCGGTCTTACAGTTAAAACTGGTGCTCCTTGTCAAGGCAACACAGCACCAATTCTATGAAAAACAACTACTATATAAAACCTGCAGCCACAAGAAGCAGCATCAAAAAGCACATATCTTTATTTCAGAAATAACTTTTTTGTTTCATAAAAGCTAATTAACAAATTAAATTACACTGGATAGTATGTAGCTCACTAATGCCACCTATACAATTTGGCAGGATAGTTGTCCTCAGATGACTTGCATATGAAAAGCAAGATTATCTTGACTGACTGCCTCTACAAACTGTAGGAGAAGAGAATAAAATGTTTCAGTGAGTAAAACATTCAGTATATCTATATTCTTGACAATTATTAGATAGAAGAACAAATACATCATACTTGAACGGCACTGTGTTTAGCAGTTCTTACTTGCCCTAAGTACTTAAGGCATACCAGTTCTAATAAACACCAGTTTACAAAAAAACCCAGGTGCTCTTAAACAGGTGAGATTTTACCTTTCGAGCCTGTTCCTCAGCTCGTTCTTTCTTGATTTTTTCCAGTTCAGCCAAAAGAGCTGCAGTGTCATCATCATCACTGTCTTCCAAGTCCTCATCTTCATCATCTTCCTAATAGCAACAAATAGAAGTAAGAATCAGCTCATTTATTTCATTTAATAAAAACAATCCTGGTCTGCCCAGCTAAGGCTGTTATTTGCTGATTTCTGAAGCATGTGGATGCTTGTAGTAGCAGAAAACACAACACAAATGGTTTGTTTGCTCTTGTATAGTAAAGTCAAGACAAAAATATGTTTGTGCTTTCAGGATGACTGCAATTAAAAATGCAGTGTGACTGACAGACCCTAGAGAATGGCCGTCCTCAAACACTCTCTAATCACTGTGACAGAAGTCATTACAACATTGTGCCTGAATACTCCGTCCAATACTGCTGGGACCCAGTATCACAGGATTAAAAAACCCTGAGCTTATTGTCAAACCTTTGACCTAGGTCCTAGATGTCAGCAGGAGGAAAGGAGCCAAGGGTAAGCATCTTTTGCTCATGCAGACAGTCATTTACATATATCCCAGCAGTTCTACCTTTGAGGAATTCTAACTAACCCAGTAGTGGACAAAAAAGTCACCCATTACCCACACTTTAAGTGGTATTTTCAGTTCCCTAGTTTTTGTGTGCTTTCCAAGAACAGCACGGACCAGAATCCTCTGAACCGCTCTGGACTTTCACCACAGTACAGAAACTGTAAAAGGAAGATACGTCGGAACCTGTCTTAAATCTTTAGCAAACGTAAAACTACATGTTCCATTAAGAGCAAATCCTGAAGGCAGGACAATAAAAGGAAAGAAGACAGACAAAAGATACACACATCCGTAAGCGGATCATCTGCATCAAGATTTGCTGCAGGAATCTGGTCTAGTCGAGGCTTCTTAGACACAGAAGATGATGTTGTATGTTCTATGGCAGAAGAGTTTAAAGTAAGTCACTTCATTTAACAGCATCTAATGTCAGAAAGCAAAAATCTTCACAAAATATTTGTCTTGCATTACAGTAAGAGAAACAAGCTTATGCTCACTTTTCCCTCACTTCTCAGTCTTAATGTCCATGCTAATTCGTCCCCTGTAGATATCCTCAAGAGAAGTGATAACATCCCAAACTTACGATTTGGCCTCCAGAATTTTTTTAAGTCATTATTTAAGACAGAAAGAATAGCTATGGAAAAAATATCCTTATTCTATATATCCAACTGGAGGATTCCCATTTAGGATCACCCCAAAGCATTACTCTTGGCTACTTTTGCCCAAACCAAAACTTGAAATTTGAAAGCCGTGCAATATTTTTACACCTAAAGTGCTTAAAGTATGCCAAGCTTAGTGCTAAAAATGAGTATTTCTCAAGATGCTCTTTGATTTTAATTATTACTTCCCTGTATCTGAACAGAACTGTGTACTTTCAAAACAGATTTATTGTTACGCTGGTGCTGTGAACACCAGAAGATGAGTCACTCCCCCTTCTCCTTCCTGTCTCGCTTGTCCAAGTACAAGAAAAAGCCCTTTATTAGCTGTACATACTTGTTGCCAATTTGTTACAACCACACTGTATCAGCTGGCCTGCATGATGGCCTAGGCTTTTCTACTGGCTGGCCTAGATTCCTGCTAGCATGAAGCCAGAATGAAAGCCAGCAGACATTCCCTTGCAGGTCAACAGCTCTGAACTATCAGACCAATACCCCAAATTCTACTCCCATGACATGCTGTCTGTAACCTGCAAACTTCTTACAACACTAAGCTTCATGCAAGAGCAGTGCCACACAAAGCCTTTCAGATTTTTGTTTCTCTGTTTTTACCTCTGGTTGGTCTGTCTCTGTTCTTCTCTCTTGCAGCGACACGTTCTCTCTCCTCCAGCTCCCTTCTGAAATCACGGTTACGCACCTCTTCAGGAGCATCCTGAGTGGTCTGTCTAAAATAACAAAGAAGGGGGAAAGAAAGTCTGAATTTTGACAGTCTGCATCTGGGAGCAATTTTTCCAAGGAGGCCAATAAATCCTGGGGTGAACAGCACTACGGTGACCTTTCTTCACCATTTTCTTCCCCGAAGTTGCTGCTGCAAACCCAGTCTCTGAACCTTACAGACAAGACCAAGACTAGAACATCCTTTTCATAAACCTTCACAGACCATGACCACTAATAAAAAAGGTTGGGAGAACAAGCAAAACACGAGCTTTAGTGAAACGTCTTGAAACGTGTTTGTCCCTCTTTTATATAACACATTGACCAAAAGCAATGAACTATGTATATCTGAGTCACACCAAGTGCCACCTAGAGAGTGCTGAAATTACTGTGGAAATCTTGAAAAGAACTAAGGAATAAAAACAAGCAGCAATTCCTTTCACCTCTCTGTGAACCTAGTGCTGGAAATAAGAGTGTCTGGATGAAACCCAGACTTGAGCCATTATAAACACATTGTGTGCACAGTCTGTCTTTACGATGAAGTATTTAATTTGCTTTTGTAATTAAAAACCTGAACTTGGAATTCCTGTTAGAGCTGCAAAATCCCCCCAAACCCTGTGTCATTCAGGCGAACATGAGTGGGACTGAAACACTGAACTTTTCCTGCAATGATGCAGTCCTGGCAATTTAACAAAGACAACTTTGTATTAGGTATTTGGAAGAAAGAACAGAAGACACTTAATGCTCCCTCCATCTGTCCCTCTCACACAGATAGATTTGTTAAAACACACATTGTTTATTCCTGTACATACCTGTCCCTACACACTTCTTTCAAAGCAACAGACTGGTGTTCCAAATCCTATTTTTGTTTAAAAAACAAAGCACCAGTAAAACACATTTGACAGCATTTTTTGTGCTGTTGATTTTGGTATTCTCCAAAACACTCCAACTCCCTTATGAATATGTATTCTTAAAAACCAAAGGGCCAGGAGGGAAGAGGTGACAGGGTAAACATCTACACAAAAAAGCACAGAAGTAAAACCTTGACAGTAATTTCATGGAAAAGAGCAACATCGGTCAGATAAAACAAACATTTTTAGGTTGTCACATTTAATAGAAATTCTATGTATCACATTGACTCCAGATTTTATTTAATCTTTCAAAAAGACAACAAAGATTTTTATGCATTTCAATGCATACAGAGGAAAATATTCCTAAGATCACATTATCTTTCTCGGTGGCTAAAGCAATTTCCTCTCATAGGACCTGCATGAACCACTTGCAGTGTTTAACATCAGCTCTTCCAATACATACTACTGCCTGAGTGCTATTTTGTGATTTTCCTGCCTCCTCTTAATGCCATTACCAAGTGGTCTTTTGCCAAGAACATGACATGGTTTTCCCACTTTTAAGACACGCTCAACCTGGTTTCTCCCATCCCATCTTGCTCTGCAAGTGACAGCACTTTCGGTGGCTTCCTTTCCACTCCACTGCCCAAAGTGCTCAGTCTCCAATGTTCATATTCTCCTTCTGATGTTTCACGTCCACAAGCAGTAACAAATACCACTAAAACTAAACCTCTCCAATCACCTGCACTGCATTTGATCTCCTAGGTCTGCTTTTGAGACTTTCACTTTCAGCCCACTTGTTCAGCATTGCTGCACAAGCTCTGGACCCTGCTCACTGTCGAACACATCAACATCTACCATGAAAATTTCAGGTACCACTCATAACAAAAATATCTTTCCCAGCCTGTTTTGCCCTAAGACCCAAAACACCAATACTGACCTGTATTTGATTTTAGTATGAGAAGGAAGATCTCTGCTGGAATATTGTTTGGATAGCTGGCTTAAATCTCCTTCACCTTTTCCTCTTCCTCCTCTTGCAGGTTCAAACGTTGGCCTTGCTGCTGTCGTCATTTTAACTCCTAAACAATCAAGGGATAAACCCAGTTGTTACTAAACATGTAGTGAAAGACATTCATCAGAAGCTACTTTGCTCCTAAACTGTAAAAGCAGTAAGAAGTCCCACCACAGAACACCAGCTATCGCTTGACTCCTGACCCTTGAAATTTAAGGAGCTTTTTATTGAACAGAATTTATCTAGATTTTCAAAATAAAATCTTTGCCAACATGCTTGAAAGACAACACACAGATTCTAACAAGAATATGAAGACACCTTTGTAAAGTAAATAAAACTGCCCAGGAGCTGGTCTCCAATTCTTAAAACAAGTGGCTCAGTCTTGCAACTGAACTCTTTCTCCTCCTGAAAAACTGCAGTCAAAAATGACTGCCTGCAGGGAATAATCCCTTCATTATTCCACAAACCATAGGTACCATCACCAGAAATGTTGGTGGACACATAGCACAGCACGCCCAGGATGGTGCTGGTTGTTAAACACTGATGAAGATCACGCAACCTGAGTGCTCCAGCCCTGGCCATGGCCCTGCTCCATTTTCCAGTGCAGGCACAACCCTGTTATGAATGCTGGGGCACAGTCCTTTGGGACCGACCTGTGCAGAGCTCCAGTTGGCCAGCAGCACCTTCTGAAGGGCTGGGATCAATGTTTTCCTGGTGGTGCAAGGCTGACAACTTCACCCTTAGTAAACAAAACGTAAATAAAAAAGCTTGGGCAAATGGAGAAGTTGTAACCAGCTCTCCCTGAGAAACTGCAGGAACTCACATATTGCCAGCATGTCCTAAAAAACAAACTGGCTGATGCTGCAAAACTGCTCCTATCAATTATTCTGTGGCAAAGGAGTGAGACAGACTCAGCCAGCCTCAGCCATGCAGACACCCTGTCAGCACTCACTGTGTTCACTGCTGCTGGAGGGGACCCAGAGACCCTGTAATCCCAAACCACTATGCCAGCCAAGAGTTGGAGGGGGTTAACCAACGCCAGAAAACCCTGTGTGATCAACCAGCACCATCAGGACTGAGGTAACAGCATGAAGGTGTGTCAGGGGAGGTTTGCATTGGATATCAGGAAAAGGTTCTTCACCCAGAGGGTGGGTGGGCCCTGGGACAGGCTCCCCAGGGAAGTGGTCACAGCACCAAGCCTGACAGAGTTCAAGAAGTGTTTGGACAAAGCTCTGAGGCACATGGTGTGACTCTTGGGGCTGTCCTGTGCAGGGCCAGGAGATGGACTTTGATGAGGATGGGTCCCTTCCAACTCAGGTTATTCTATAATTCTGTGATCTTAAATCTATCTAAAATGATTCTCATTTCTGCTTCACCAAGACACACACATGCACTAACCAAAGCCTAAAGATATTAAGGACACAGAAACCTGCAGAGAATATAAAGGCACTAGTCCTACCAACCAGAATGTTGAACATTGAAGGGTGACAAGAGAACCTACTAAAAATATTAAAAAGCAAAGAAAAAACCCATGACATTGCTTTGTATGCTTTTGTGGTATACAAATATTTATGCTCTACTTACATTATTTGTTATTTAGTCACTTTTAACGAGAGCACAAAGCACACAACTTCAGTGTCAAAATTACAATAGAACCTGTGGCTGAAAGTAACATCCCATCAGGCAGAACACAGTTACTGCCACTGACCCACTGAGTGGGTCACACACTGAGAAAACAAAATTAGCAGAAGGAAACACCTTCAAAAAGAAGTGAGACAGTAACTAGGCTTGACTTGTTAATCAAGGATGGCTGATACGTTTCACTGATGCTTTGCAAGTCAGCTGAAGCTCAGCGAGACATTTTAGCTCTGCCTTGGCACAGACTCTGCCAGACCCATGATGCAAGAAAGTCACTTGCTCTTGTAACTTATCTATGCTAATTATATGTAACACAATGGATCCATGAATTTAGGTGAAGAATGGTATCCAATGTGGCTGCACTAGTTTCATGAAACATTAACAAATTGTCTGGCAAGTGCCCCTGGTTCGCTTATATCAGAGAATCACAGAATCAATTAGGTTGGAAATGACCTCTGAGACCATGGAGTCCAAGCCACAACTGATCACCACCTCGCCAACCAAATCATGGCACTAAATGCCATGTTCAGTCTTTCCTTAAACATCTCCAGGGACAGTGACTCCACCACCTCCATGGGCAGCCCACTTCAATGTCTACTCACGCTTTCTGTGAAGAAATTCCTCCTAATGTCCAACTTGAATCTCCACTGTTGTGACTTAAGACTGTGTTCTCTCGTCCTGTCACTAATTGCCTCGGAGAAGACCCCCACCTGGCTATAACCTCCTTTCAGGTGGTTGTAGACAGTGAGAAGGATCCCCCTAAGCCACCTTTAATCCAGGCTAAACATCCCCAGCTCCCTCAGCCGCTCCTCGTAGGACTAAGTCAGTCTGTGTTCACTTTGCCCTAAAAGGACCCAAACCCCACCTGAAACCACTCGGGAACCGCCACACCGACCTCTGAGGTTTCAGAAACGCGGGCCTGAAAAAATCTCTTAAGCGCTACCAGGAGTTATGGGCCAAGAGAGAGTGACCGGCCTGAAGCTGAACTGCCTCGGCCTCGCCGGGCTGCGCCCTCCCGGGGGGGGGGGGGGGGGTCGAATCGCAGCGCCGGGCCGCAGCTCGTCCCTCGCTGGGGGAGCTCCCCCCCTGCACCTCCTGCCTCACGGCCGCCTTTCCCCCCTCAGGGCTCCCCCCGCAGCCCCCGCAGCCCCCCCAGGCCGCCCACCCGCCGCCCTCCCGGGCACTCACAGCGCGGCCGCCTCCGCCCTGCGCACCAGGCCCTACACCGGCGCCATAGGTCCGCCACGCGCCCACAATGCACCGCGGCGGGAGCGCGGACCATAGAGAGGGCCGGGAGCGCGGACCATAGAGAGGGCCGGGAGCGCGTCCGCCATGGCGGCTCTGAGCAACGGGGACTAGTGGGAGGTGTCCCTGCCCGTGGCAGGGGGCTGAAACTAGGCCATCTGTAAAGCCCCTTCCAACCTTAACCATTCTTTGATTTTATATTCACTGCTGTCTCTGTAAAGAAGCCAAAGCATGAACGAGCGTCAGTCGGGGATTAAATTTCCCCTTTAAAATGCAATTCCTTCCTTGTTTTTACCGTTCCCTGTAGATTGCACTTTACTATCAAACTTCTGCGAATCCACACGAAGGCATGTGAAGTAAAAGGCTCTTTGATGTATCTACAAATTATCACGGAAACATTTTTCCCTAGCGCTCTGCAGCCAACATGCAATTTAGAACAGAGCCCACAAGAGGTCCCACAGATATTGCCACCCAGGGAGCTGCTACGCAGCAGCGGTGGAAAGTGCGCCCTTTGGGTCAGCAAGCCATCAGAGAAAGCACTTGGAAGAAGTGGGCCTTTAGCACGGGAAGAAACCAATTATTTTAAGCAGTTTTTCAAAAATGTTTAGCTTCACTCCGAAGTCGGGTAAATAGTAACAATAACAACGGTGTCATTTCCTAATAGCTACCCCTGTCAGTAACCAAGTATCCACCATCGCACTTTCTCATCTGCAAGCCTCAATCTGCACCCCTTGAAATGGGTTTATGATTTCTTCCACTACAGGCAGTTTAGACACAAGATCACAGAGAAGTCTGGCTTTGGGAATTTGGTACTGTTGGGCTATAGATCACAGAAGCCTGAAATCAGTGCATCATCCTTTGATAGTGGGTGTTATTCCTAGACTACAAATCTGTGGAGGAGCTGTTTCACTAATTTGACTGTCGTGGTACAGCAGAATGTTGTATTTTTCTCAGTAACATGTCCTGAAGGCAGTGCCTACTGTTCAGTTGTAACAGCTATCTGGAAGAAGGTATCCAGTCTCTATTACAGACCTCAAGAAACAAAGGGACTTCTCTTGCTGTTGTGTTAGAGGAAAAGGCAAACATTCTGTGTGTGCTAAAAACTGGCACAGTCCCTGCTCTGAACAGATTGGAAGATTCTTTAAATAGCAAAGGAACGGCCTAGTGTTTTTGGCCAAAATTGTTCCCCAAGCAGCTTTCCCTCCCCCACCTTGTGTGTATCACTGTGAAGTACAAGTAGTTACAGATGTGTTTTATAGTCCAGGGTTTGGTTTCCTTGGAAGACTTGAACACTAAAGATGGATATTGGTAGAGTGGAGGTGCCTGAGACCAGACTCCTGAAAGTCTTGTTGCAGAGGCACCTAACCTTCACAGGCCCACAACTTTTGGGTTTAAAGATCTCTGAACATACAGATTTTTGCCCAATCTTTAACTTGTTTGGACTCAGTTTAGGTCTAAGAAGTTTAGCATCATGCTTTCTCTGGGGCCTAACAGACCTCTTTTCCACTCAGGTGCTCAGGGAGCCTTCATCCAGCAATGATTCTCAGATCTTGTCTGCACTCTTTGATGTCGCCATCAGTCTCTCAGTCCCTACAGGGCACATCCTGTAGCTCTTTCCCAAGCAGGGCTAATTCCGCATGTGGGTAATTATTGCCCCACCAGGCTGGCCAGCTCCAGGCTGCTTTGCCATTTAGGGATGTTCTCCCTGTGTTTTTGAAGTTGATTAGCCAAGCATAAGGGAAGGGATTAAAGATCCATCAAGAAAAAGAGCATGGATGTAGAAGGGAACACCACTCAAGTTCAATGGCAAAGGTGACAAGTGTGAATTCCCATATTCCAGATGATGCATTAAAATGTCTTCAGACAGTGTAAACAACCAGACAATAACAAATCCCTCTTCCCATGTCTGCTCTAATCTTTGCTGAGCAATTTGGCTGTAGCAGCCCCTAGAAAGGTATTGTGTACTGCATGGAAAACATGAAAAGCAGGAGAAGTCACTTCCTTTGATCATTTCCTCCAGTGATTAATTACCCTCACAGTTTAAAACTGCACCTTATTTTTGCGTTTCCAACCATAGGTGCATGTTGTGCCTTTCTGTGGCAATTTTAAAAGCCTGTTTTCTCACCAGACATACTTTGTAATCTAGGCTTGCCACTGCCTTTGGATAAGGTAAGCAGCCTGGGCTCTTCTAGTCTTATGATTGTTTCCTTCCTCCAACCAATTATTTGAGGGCTTTTTCTTGCTCCCTATCCAATTTATGAACAACAAAAATATAAGAACAGTTTCGGCATCTTCTCCATCAACATGAACTAGAGAGATAGAACCGCTTTTCTCCCCCAGCTTTCTACATGGTTGTTTGTCTGAGGACCACACTGGCATTTTTACCCACACCACTACCTTGGGTGCTTGAGTCCAGATACATGTCCATGGTGACTCTTGAGTCCTTCTCAGGGTTGTTGTTTTCCAGATTAGAAAATTCCAGGTAGTTTTTGAGCTGAGACAAATAAACATATTTGGCTGTGTTAAAGGCTTCTGTCTCAGAAATAAATCCCTTGCTGGTGTCACTGGCATAGCCTCTTAGTTATGGTCCCAAATTCTTTATGGTACCCGCACATATTCTCAGTGCAATTTTATAGTTGCTTGTGGATTGTACCAGGAGACTAACATTCTTTGGTTATCCCAGTGCTCTAGGGTGTTGATCTCACCTATGTTCTGGTCATTCTCTGAGATTATGGCAAGATCCCAAAAGACATTGCGTCCTGAAAGAGAACAAAAACATTTATAAAGACCTCATGCCTCTTAGGAGCCTTAATAATGTTTTTCTCATCTACTTCTTGGCCTGTAGTGTAATGAAGATTGTTCATGTTCCTAATGGACTTTAAAAACTCCCTTTTAGCCTTGCCAGTGTAGAGATTTTTCCCTATTTCCTGTGTCATTTTCCTATTCTTGAAATCTTCTCATGTATAGTCTTTCCGTCTGTAACATTACTCTTACTTGTTGATTTTCACAGATTTTTTTCTGAATCCAGACAGGAATTTATTTGAGGCAATTGTCATTCCTGAGTTTTTGTGTCTCTCACTGTAGGCCATCTTCTGCCCACCCTAAAAGAACAGCAGCAGGGTGTGCAATCTCCTCTTTCAAAGCAATGTGGTACTGTGAAGGTGAGCATTTTCCCCAACAGGGCAGAGGTTCAGTGTCAGAATGGAAATCTCCCAGCTTGAATTTTCCCCTTGCCTCCCTTCCTGTGAGAGCCTGTCTTTTGCCATCTGAGGCACAGCTTGCATGGGCTGATCAGAAGAAAATCTCCCTTTTCTGCTTTGGAGAGGCCACATCACCATTTCCTCCCTCAGGACACTGTGTACTTTGAAGGACTGTGCCTCCTGCTGGGTAACAGACATGGAAGGGCACAGGGGATTGTTCAAGAGTGGAAACTTGGTGCGGGAATGCTCAGCAAATGGCAGCCTTTAAAGAAGCTTGTGGGAAGTTGCTGTTTCCTTGATTGGAAGAAGAACAGAGGCTGGGCAAGGCTGTGACTCAGTCAGTGAGTCAGCAGGGGTTGCTTTCCGATGAGGCCATCTTGGCTCTTTAGCTCTCTGTCACACCTTCCCTGCTGCCGTGGGACAGTAAAAACCTTTTACTGCTGCTTCTCTTTGCTGACGAAGTCATCCTGGCCCTTAACCTCTTCCCTGACACCTCCCACTGCATTGTCTCTCCAACTTTCTGCTTCTGTGCTCCATCTCATCCCCTGGGCTGCTGTTTGTTTTTGTGCCTTCAGTGCTCCAGTTCTGGGTGGATTGAGCAGCTATGAACTCCTGCTTTGCAGTAACAGAGAGACATTGTGACCTATTCACCACAGAGGGAAAATCCCAGGAGTCAGCAGTAATTCTCTGCAAAAAAATGACACAGGATGAGGACCTGATCTGGATCCTACCCAAGGCAGTCATGACATTCATCAGACACCGCAGACTGTGGTTCCTTTGCCAGACATTAAACGAGCTGGACCAGTGCTGCAGGCCTGACACGCTGGTTTTGGATAAGTCTTCTGTTTATTGTGTCTTTCCCTGTCTGCTTCCTGATGCACACGGCTCTCCGCTGAGATCCCCGTGCTTTTTCAACATGAGATGTGATGTCAACCAAAAGGGACTCAGGGACCTGGGGAAGGAGGGTGCCGAAGGAAGGAATGGTGCCCCAAGACACACACAGTTCATGCTTCCTGGACTCACAGCTTTGAATACACGCTCAGCTCCATGGAATCTCTCTTGTTTCTATTGAATTGATTGGTTTTGAGCTTGGGCAAAGCAAATAATTTTAGTCATGCAGTATTTACATCCAGGCAAGCAGCCAGAACATACCTCTGTCTACAGTTGCATCCACTGTTACGCAGAACTGTTCCACTGTTTTATTTATTAGCCAAACATCTCTAATAGCTAAGTTAATTTTATCCTTTCCTTAGTGATGGTGACCCAGTCTAACTGGGAGGAGTCTCAGTAGTGCAGTGCCTAGACTCTGAAAAACTGGCTGTCCATGCACCCCTGTGGCTCTGGCTTTGGCCCTGATCACTTTCCCTCTGTCTTCTCAGTGTAGATGTGGAACAAGAAACCAGTGAAGCTGTCAGTCATGGTGGAGTGAAGGTGCACACCTCTC